CTCAAACCCCTACAGGGCTCAGAGTGCGGAAGATGGCTGCGCGTCAACGCACTTAAATCTCCCCCTATCTTCTGTCACCCTTCCTGCTCCTGAGCACAGGTTGGACTTCATCGAAATCGATGGTCGAACCATCAACAGGTATTTCGTTAACTGGCAGTGAAGGTTTCCGCAGCTGCCTATTGTAGTCTCGAACAAAGCGCCACACAAAAGGCTTACAATACAGTCAACCTCCTATTCAACGGTCCCACTAAAGCTAGTTTTCTGAAGGTTGTCGTTGCACGGCATCTCCTATTCAGGGATCCATGTAATCTTTCACATGCAAGTACATTTGGTAAACGCGAAGGCAGCTGACATTCAGATCGGCTTAGCACCTTCTTAAATGGCTTTGAAAACAGGAAAACGAAATCCTCCATTCTTCTATTACGAAGGTCATAGGTCCGCATAAAAAAGGAGCAATTCCACCTGTGCAAATAGCCACACCACATGCTTAACCCCACCTTGGCCTGGTGCTACCTAGGTTTTCAATTTACACAATCCTTTTGCGCGTTGACTTCCCCTTTTTCTTTCCTGTATTGTGCTTTTAAGTAGCCAGCTCCGTTGTTTAGTATGCTTGCGCTGAAAAATTACATTGCTTTTTGGTATTGCTTTTCTGTGGAAATTAGACACCCTTATTTTAGTTAACCCAATTGTGAAAAAACTCCCGGCCTCGCTGGGGCGCCGAATCCACACAGCAGGGGAGGCTTTTGCACAGCCAACGCTCTCTTCTTATTCGTTATTGATTACATGCAGCGAACGCCTGCAGTGGGTAAGCTGGCGTGAAAAGTTGTTGGCCCCAATAAATTCTGCGGTCTACCCCTGTAGGCGTGGTCCGTGTCCCGTCGTCAGCATGCCCGTCTCAAATCAGGAGACGATAGATCTGGGTCCGTTCCCGGTAACTTACCGATCCAGACTCTTTTCTGACTTGCCGACTGGCTCATACTCTGCCGCATGAAATAAAATAATAGTCAGAGGCACTTAAAAGTGACGTTTGCTGATCCAGCCTGCCTACCGGGGGATGGAAAATATTATTTCTATATTCCCCTGGAACTCCTCTTTGGAGTCC